TGAAAGAAAAATTTGTTCAGCTCCAACCGTGTAGGTTGAAAATGTTTTATCCGACTCGCTCGCGTAGACTACATAACGCGTCAAGAACCGATTCGACTTATCGATTAGGTTCGTTTTATACCCCGTAAAGGAAAAATACGCCAATGGTCGCAGAGATCCGAGACGAGCATCATCTGGAACGTCTCCGCGACGCCAGTCCGAGTTCCTTTCCATTTCGTCGCGTTTTCACCGAATTCGCAAATCATGCGACGTTTGCGACTCGCTTTCCGTCGAATATTTATTTATACGGCGATCTAGACGGTAGCCATCTAATTTGTCGGCGAGACAGTCGAAGCTGGGCCATATTTTTATCGCGGACGTTTAATTTCGTAGAAATTCCTTTGCCGGCAAAACCGGTTGCACGCTAAAACGTCAGCCAGAGAAAGGGGTCTGGGGCGAGGCGTGCGTGGGGATTCCCCGGCGAACCTATACGTCTCTTTTTGATTGTCCCTTGATACAAAAACACGCGATTACGTACAACAGGTACTGTTGCGTGACGTACGACGCGATCGCAAGCAATAGTTGAAGATTTTTTGAAAATCTGATTTGGCTTGGTTTATTAAAGTGTGTAACTGATTTAAACTTCAGTTTTACACTTGACGTTACTCTGTCTTACATAGCTCTTACATTGGTTTCAATACTGTTTGCAGTATCTCCTAACTCTCGTATCTGTTGAAACCTAACGGCCTTCCTATAGCTCGAGTACCTCGGGATCCCTAAACCCGTACTGTAGTTGCGTACATGCATACTACACCCCCACAATTGGAATATACATATATGATTATTTATACAGGGGGTTAGGCTCCGTTAGGAGGTTTCATTTTATAAATTATTAAAAAAACCGTCATTTAAGAAATGTTAATTTCTCGGTTGTCAGGTAGGAGTGCTACATGCTTGACGATTGAGATTTAGAATTAAAACCTCTTGGGCAAATACGTAAGAAAACAACGTCGAAGGAAGCGTTATCGGCCATCCAACGCGAATCCTGTTTTTCGACCGCGAGGTGTCCACCTACGTGGAAAATATCGTTGTTCTCCCGTCGTTTCGCAATTAAATTTACGAGACGTATTCTTATTTTTACACCGTCGATCCGCGAATTCTTCGCGAAACGGACACGAGACGTAGCCGTCGACAACAACTTTTAGTTTTATATTATTTTTAACACGCATGGATCTGCGGCAAATATAGCGAAAACGTAGGAACATTATTCAAACGTATAATTCAAATCGTTCGATCGTTCGATTGTTTTCACCTTGCAATAGTGGAACAAGGAATTGCACCGATAGATCCGCATAATTGCGAGTTTTACCCATCGACGAGCATTTTGTTTCGATGTCGGCCACCCCAATTGGACGAATCGTGCGTGCACGCGATCGTTAGCTCGATTCGCGGATTCGTTTCACCGACGACAATATCAAGAAAACCAAGTGAAAATCCCGGATAAATTTGTTTTATCCGTCGGACGGGGGCAATTATTTTTGCGCGGCTTGATGTATCGCGGAGAAGGCGTACGCCAAAGAGAAAGCACGGATAGATACTCTCGGAATACTGAACCTCGGATACCGGATATTGTAAACCGACCTTCACCGCGAAATCTGTACATCAACCTTCGCCGCGGCCGGCAAGCCTTCGTTTAAAATTGCACGGCTGCGCGCTCGCTGCCAATGTCATTTAAATACTAAGACTATCGAGTGGCTACTAGTCGGCGCGAACCCGATCGCTTATCGATAAATTGGGAAAAATGGAACCCGTTTCCGTTAGACGACCCCTGCACGCACCAATGACGCCTGATCAACGTTGCCCGACGAGATTCTCGGCTGTCGTCAACGAGATCGAGAACACATTCGCGAAATTAATACGTTGCAAAGAAATTTATCGATATACTCCGACACGAGGTTGATTCGAAGAGTCGAACGTTACTTTTTCCTGGTCGTTTTCTCGGTCTCTTTATTTCAGAGGGCTTCGCCGAGTTAAAAAATAACCGCGAGTGGTTGCGCCGCGTCTCGATTCCCGAAAGTGTCGGGTCCGTATCGATTTAATTCGAGAAGTCGTTCGAATGTCGTCAAGGCGAAAAAGAAAAATAGAAAGAGAGAGGAAGAATCATTCCACCCGCGAGTTCGTTTCCGGCTCGCGTCTCCTTAACGCAAATCGTACGACTTGTTTATTGATTATACGGGGGACACATGTACAGACATACGTCTACGATCGCGCCGGACTCATTAACGTAATTAATGATACGACAGCCGTTTCAGCAACGGCTGACGGAATAAATAAGCGATAATATTATGTAGATGCGACCGATCAATCTGACGTCGCGCGATAAGGAAGTGAAAAGAATCTGTGGGGGGCGGTGGAAGGGAGGGATGAATTGGTGTCGAATGTCGCGTATGTCGCGGTGTAAAATGGATTTTACAGCGGTTTCGAAACTTTTTTAAAGGCATCCCTCTAACGAGAAAAGTAGAACATTGTTGTAATGTTTGTCATAATTCAGTCGAAATTAAGTAACTCCTTCCTAGAGGTCTTCCTATAACAAATATACGGTCCGTTAAGACTAAAAGGTATTAGTCAGGTTTAAAGTTGGGAGATTTCCGTGGTACATAAATCGGATAGCACGGTCCGCGATCGCGAGCGTGCATCAGTTGCCAGACAGGCGTATCAAAAGACACATATAACAATCGAGCGTGGTAAACAGCGAAGTCATTCCTTCCATTTGGCCACGGGGAAAAAGCAACGTTTCAAGAGGAAGGTGCTCGTGCGATTCAGATTAATCGCGTAGCCCGCGAAACTGCAGACGAGCCGGCATTAATGATCGTCGCGTGTTCCGTCTCGCTCGTGAATCGACGAAATGCTTAAACGCGCGACGAACATTCGTCCGCGTCGGAAGATATCTTCAACTCGAATTTGTTTCGTAAACGCCAAGTGAATTCTAACGCGATCGACGTCGATTTTTGTCGTCGGGTCGCGCCTCGCGCGAATTTTCTTCGATTGCCATCGGTCCTGGTCATCTTGTGATAAGTAAATATTTTTCTTCGGAGTCATCCTTTCTCCGAGTCACCCAAACGCGATCGCGCGACTTCCCTGAGAACTTTTACCGACCCCTGAGTTCGATAACACTGGTCACCGTGGCTGCCGAAACGTGTCGTTCGCGAACGAGCATGAAAAGCTGCTCGCCACGGAGATACCTATCTTTCCTTGAACGGAACGGGGAGGGTATAGCGAAAAAGTTAGACGCAAATGGCGGCGCATCGGGCGCAAGAAAGCGTGCGTGATATTAATAAACAGAGGAACGAAGATAATCCGTCGATGCGTCATCCCCCCCGACACAAAAACAAAACCATGCCTGAAAGAGGAAAATCGAGTTACGCGAACGCGAGTAACGTTAACCGGCCGCCGGGATAAACGAAAGAATGGAATAAAGAGCGAGGTAATTAATCCGATAAAACGGAATATTTTGTGTGTAGCGTTGCATAATACGAATTCCATAATCATGAGATGCGCTCACGCGGACCGTTGTTTTCCTCGTAACGCGACTGTACGCGATTAGCCGTGATTACGACGAACGCGTGTCGCCAGTGATTCAATAACGAAGCTCCATTCTACGCTCGCTGGCTTGCAGTCGGTTCGATTTCGGTCTTCCGTGATGCCGTTTAATCACCTGGTTTTTCTCCCCGTCTCTTGGAAAAGTTGAGAGGGGCAACCTATAGTTCTCGAATCGCTTAGATGTATTATCGCGAATGGTTGATAGCCGCCTGGATCTCTTAGTCGAAGTCAGCGGTAAAACTTGTCGAGCAGATTCTGCGTTGGAATTAATCGCGTACCGATAAACTACCGGGGTAATCGTTCTAGCCTAGGGCAGGCGTGCCAGGCAAGCTTTACCAACGATTACCAGATCCAGGACCGAAAGGAATCGTTCTCGATATCCAGAGGGTCTGTAAGAGCTGCTCGACTCGGTTCTCGTTCTCCTGTTCTACCGTTTTTGAAAAGATCGCCACCCACGATCGCGAGAAACGCTACGCTCGGAGGGGAAGCGAGGGAGACGGCGAGGCAAACTTTTCGCGCGAACAGAAGGGCAGGGAGATTCGACATCGCAGATACACGGGGAACACTTCATAAATCATTCGCGCGGACGTGTATCCCGCGTGCATCCGACCTGCATAACAGCCGTTGAACTTGCGAAGCTCGAACCGGACGTATCTGACCATGCGTGACCAGGAACGTGGTCGATTCAACGTGGTAGAAAGTGTACACGCGGCGAACCGATCCGATACAATGTTTTACTTGCTCGAATGTCTCTCGTCGGAGAGGGAACGCGATTAGCTGTCGCCGATCGAAGCGATTCAAGGGCTTGTCTCGTTCCTTGCAGCGGCGACGACGACGACGACGACGACGACGACGATGATCGCCGTGATGGAGAACCTTCGTTATCGGCGTCGTTTCCCGTATTATAAATCGATCGTGGCAGGCTCGAGTTTTACGAGCGTATTAAATCGTACGCCATACAATCGTTATTTGTAATGTTCGCGCGTGTCGATAATATAGTCAGGTTTCCGTTTCCAATCCGATGTACCGGGTTATTAGCGACCGGAAAATTAATAAAATCACGCGTACGATCGGTGTATGCCCCCGAGCAATCCCAATTAAATCTACCTCCGGGAATACAGTCCCCGTTCTTGATATATAACCGAGGAAAAAAACTTGAAAATTTAATCCTAGAAGGACTTTTGTCGAGTTCGATTTCTGTGGGTGACGATTTACGAATTTGCGAAGAGGAATGGAAATCTCGGGAGTAAACTAGATCGACCAAGATCCGACGAAAAAGTCCTCCCAGGGTTAACGACGATTACGTCCGCGCGAATCGACCAATCCCGACCGACCTCCCGTTACCAAACAAAGCAGGCGGACGCTTGTTACTTTTCACGGGCACGCATCGATAAAGGTTCGTTCGACTTGTCTGATTCCAGATACTGGCGCGCCCTACGTATTATACAAGGACAACATGGAGAGACCCCAGGGGCAATGGGGCCCGGGGCCGGGATCTCTCCAGGACGGGGGACTGTACCCACAGCAACAGCAACAACAGCAACAGCAAGGCTCCACCTCGTCCGGCAGTCCACAGCAGGCCTGTGGTCCCCCTGTCGAGGGAGAAAGCGGTCCCCCGCCTTCGTTGGCCTCTCCCGTGCCCTCACCGTACCCCTCGGCACCGCCCGAGCCTCAAGCCTTAACCCCACCCGACGACGATATACAATCGAATCAAGCCACCTCTCAGCAGCAGCAGCAGCAGCAGCAGCAACAGCAACAGCAACAGCAACAACAGCAACAACAACAGCAGCAGCAGCAGCAGACGCAACAACAAGTCCAACAGCAGCAACAACAACAGGTTCAACAGCAGCAGCAACAGCAACAGACGCAGCAGCAGGATCACTCGCCTCAACAACAATTAACGCCGCACGAGGTAGACCGAAGCGATTGTTTTCCCGGCGCCGGAGAGCTACAGCAGTATCCGCAACACTACTTCAAAGAGGCCAGGCCGCATCCGTCGCCGTCCGTGCCACCTCACATGCTCACACCCGGTGGTTTCTCCGCGTTACACTATCTAAAGCAACCGGGGGTTATGTTGACGTCCCTCGGGCAAGGTGACGGCGGGCCCAGTTTGGACGCTCATCAATACGCCAGCCCCGGGGCACCGAACATGGGGACAGGGTTGCCCGACATCGTCCAGCAGAGCGGCAAGTCGGGCAAGGGCGCGAACAGCGATCTACGATTGTTCAAGTGTCTGACCTGCGGGAAAGATTTTAAGCAAAAGTCGACACTGCTCCAACACGAACGGATCCATACGGACAGTCGGCCATACGGGTGCCCAGAGTGCGGGAAGCGGTTCAGGCAACAATCGCACCTAACGCAGCACCTGCGCATACACGCGAACGAGAAGCCGTACGCTTGCGTGTACTGCGAGCGTACGTTCCGGCAGCGTGCGATCCTCAACCAGCATCTGCGCATCCACTCGGGTGAGAAGCCATACCAATGTCCGGAGTGCGGAAAACACTTCCGTCAGAAGGCGATCCTGAATCAGCACGTCCGCACACACCAAGGCGAGCATTTCTCTCTGCCTCCCAGACTCCCAGAGGGCGTCCACCACAACCACACTGACCCATTCACCGGTTTCTTACCGTTACTATCACCACCGTCACCGCCGCCACCATCGTCATCGTTTCTTCACTTGGCATCATTATATATATGCATACATATGCATATATATGCATATATATGCATACATCTATTTCATACTTTCGCCATATCGTCACCTTTGCCGTCACGCCTTTCTCGATCACCATTATTTCGTTCGTCGAGACAGACTTCGTACTAACAATCATCCATTCGTTTCATATATATATATATATATTTTTTTTTTTTCTGGTTCTTTATAATCCATCTTGTTTTTCCGCTTTTTCCCCTCGTCGGTTCCCGGCGGATTCGTTCAACGTTGATCGAAGCATCGGCCTCGTTGCCGCCAAGGCCAACCAAAGAGTGAGAACGGTTGAGCTGGACGCGAGCGTGCTGGTGAGCTGTGAGATAGAGGAGCCTACCTCCCGCGTCCCGTATCCATTCCTCCTCAGCTTTCGATCCTAATCTAGTTCTTCCGGTCTCTGCAAGTCCATTTCTTAGCTGCATCGTTCTAACTCATCACGACACGTTAACGTATCGTCTGTTCCGCATCTATTTTAACGCCACCTAACTTTTCGCAAACGCGTCCTTTCGCGAAGGTGAAGGAGGCGGAACTTCGTGTCCAATTAGCAACTCACCGGTGACCGCGTTTATAATAAATCGTTGTCGAGTAAAGATCGGTAGGTTCTGGGTTCTCGAGGGTGTACTCGTCCGCGAGGTTTCAAACAGTATCGCGCGATTCTCCCACTTTTCGGCACGTAGTTAGTTTCTTTCCTGGTCCGCGTTTGCTCGAGCGACTAACAAAATATTCCTCCAACGAGCGCACATCCGGCCAGCCGATGATGAACTTGGTTTCCGTGTTTGTTGCAGACGTGAGCCCGCATCTGATCTTCAAGAACGGAATGACGCCGACGCTCTGGCCGCAGGACGTTCCGTTCCCCCCGGAGGAGGGCAAGGAGGAAGTGGCGTCGACGTTCGGCGACACGGACACACAGTCGGGAGCGTTCAGTCCGGCGCCGGACGCGAATTCCATCCAATATCCCGCCTACTTCAAAGATCCGAAGGGCGGGAATCACGCGGTGTTCGGTGCCGGTGGCACGGGCAGCTTCGGTGCTCTCCAATACATCAAGCAACAGGGCGGTACCAAGGGCTGTTTGCCGGACGTGATACAACACGGTCGCTCGGCGGGGATGCCGCTTTACGTGCGCTGTCCGATTTGTCAGAAGGAGTTCAAGCAAAAATCCACCTTGCTGCAGCACGGTTGCATACACATCGAATCGCGGCCGTACCCTTGCCCGGAGTGCGGTAAAAGGTTCAGGCAGCAGTCCCATCTGACCCAGCATCTTCGCATTCACACGAACGAAAAACCGTACGGTTGCGTTTACTGCGGACGTAACTTTCGTCAGCGCACAATCCTGAACCAACATCTGCGCATCCACACCGGTGAGAAGCCGTACAAGTGTCAACAGTGCGGCAAAGATTTCCGTCAGAAGGCGATTTTGGACCAACACACGCGCACCCACCAGGGCGATCGACCGTTCTGCTGTCCGATGCCGAACTGCAGGCGGCGTTTCGCCACCGAGCCAGAGGTGAAGAAACACATCGACAACCATATGAATCCGCACGCGGCCAAGGTGCGCCGGAACTCGAGCAGCGACACAAAACCGCCCGGCACACCGGCAGGTTTGGGACCGGTGCCCGTCCCACGGGGACTCACGCCCACGGTGGTAAAGCCGGAGCTCTATTTCCCGCAATGTTACGCGCCCGCGTTCAATCATCAGCCGCCCGTGTCGACGTCGCAGTTCCCGGGCCAGGCGAACGGCGTATCCGTTGCTGGCGAGTTCAAACCACCGACCGGTCTGCCGCCACAGTGACTAACCGTCCATCCTGCCGCCTACTAGCAAGCAGGAATACCGCTGAGGTTTCAGCGATGCTTCGGTCACGCATTGCAGACCGACGCCACCGCAGCGTCGAGCATCGCGTCGCACCGATGTAGCCAGCAGCCGATCCAACAACACTACCCGTGACATTTATCGTACATTTACTAGGGTCTTTCTTTTCGTTTCGCGGTTCGCTTACTTTCCTCGTTCCATCGCTTCGCGGAGCCTCGGAACGCGCGTCGCCAGCTACCAAGGAGCTCGACGATCGCCGCAATGCCCCCGGGGCGTGCCTCGTGGCTTTTCTATTCGTCGAACCGGACTCGACGGTGTGCAATAATAAATCGTGGAAGAGCAATGTCGCGAACGCGAAATCACCGCTCGACGACTCGCGGTTTCGCCCTCGCGGTCCGCGCCTCTCCAGTCGCGTCGACTTCCATCCTTAACCCGACGACGAACGGTCGAACCAGCGAAATTATTCGCGACTAGACTCGGAGCTAAATCGATCAGCCCCTCGATCGTCATCTTTGGGACGGAATGTAAGCGCCGTCTTTCGGCGAATCTTTCAATTTCAACAAAATCTCGGACGATTTTCTTACGGTAGAATTTCATCGTTGAGTACAGTTTCAAGTAAATACGGAAGATAAATAGCCCGCTGACAAAGGTGAGTGCAGATGAATCGATTTCCAATTGATTCCGCGTCGACGCGACTCGCGACCGCGAGGGACCGAGGAAGGTCGAGGGCGGACCACGGCGAAAGCTATCGTCGGGCTCGTCCGCCCGAGGTACCGAGAAAAGTATATCAACCAACGAAGAATCTCGTCTATTCTCCCATACGTATGTTTTATATTAACGAATTAACGACGTACCTACTCGCGGGTTTTTTTCGTGGATAAGCGAATAGCTCGAGAGAGTTCGGTGGTTCCGGGCAGGCAGGCCGTCCGAGGTGTCGTTCGTCGCACCGTTCACACGCTCATTCGGAACGTGTTCCATCTGCGAACACGGGTCGAAGATGTTCGATTTCGACCAGACTAATGCAAACAAACAAACAAACAAACAAAACAAAAACAAACGATTGTGATACGATATTTAACTTGCCTATGTTTAAAAGGGACAAAAAAGAATGGGGAAAAGATGTGATGGGAGGAAGGATACGTTGCCTCGAGACGGGAGGTGAACACACGACCACGAGAAGAATGCCTGTAAATATGTAAAGCCGTTCGCTCCAACGGACGAACGAAACAAACAAACAAACAAACAAACAAACAAACAAACAAACAAAAAAACTGAAATGGCGCGAAAAAGAGCAGGAGAGGAATATATGCGTGCGTGGTGCGTGAATGCGTCCGTGTGATAGAGAGAGAAGAGCGTATGCGCGTTTCGGAGTCGCGAGGGTGGAAGAGAGAGAAAGGAAGTATACGCGAGTGGGTAAGGATCGCCGAAGGATACAAGACGGAAGGAAGAAAAAAAATAGAAAAGAAAATGTTGCTGAAGAAGCAAGAAGGAAGAGGAGGATGCGGAGGACAACGAGAAGAGACGGTAGGAGGGGGTGAGCGCGAGGAGGTAAAGGGGAAAGAAGAAGAGAGATTAGGTAGGATTTACGAGGACGACGCGGTATCCCTCGAGTGTGCTGAGCCATAGCTTTCGATACGACGAGTTGACGATGACGATAGTTGCGCGAGAGGAGGTATGACTCTTGTATACTATAGTAATATTTGAATGTATATTTATACGACAGGTTATATTATTCTATTAACTATAATGATGATATTTTGAATCGGTTTTAAAATCAGATTGGTGCTGATATAACACTAGGTAAGCGATACGAAAGAGGAGGGAACGTGGAAGAAGGCTGAGACACCGTAGAGTAGCGTATAAAGTAGGGTAGTCGATAGAGTAGCTCAAAAGATGACAAAAAAAAAAAACAGATGAAGACGAGTAAAGTCGGGAAGAGGGGGGAAAAAAAGACTTCCGAAGGACCCTCGCGAAGTCCGCTCATTCGGAATTTAATAATAATAAATAAATAATTGAACGCTATCGTAACACCGCCCTGGTGGGGAAAAAAAAAAAGAAGAGAATGAAAGATTATTTCGTGGCAATACATAAAACGAAACGAGGGAAAAATGGTGGGAAGGATGCGAGGAAATTTCAACGTACTAGAGAATAGTCTTTTAAATTTCTATATTAAGACGTGTGATCTCTCTAATTATTGTATATTATATATATATATATATATTATAATGATCTATACCTATAGATGACGAGATACATAAGTATATATATATATATGTATAATTACGATTATACGTATATTAGGCGTTCTACGGTTAGTCTTTTATCATAATTAGACACAGAGATGATCTGAAGATGAATAATTGTGCGGCCATATTCTCTGTGGCCTGTTCGTAGTGCCTCGGAATTGCTGCTCGCGGCAGTGATTTGACCGTATTTTAGGATGGTATATTAATAATTATATCGAGAACTGCAATTATCGATACTCTGATACAGTACTAAAAGAAGAAAAAAAAAAAATGAAGAGCGCGATGGAGGTACGAGAAGAAGTGGGGGGC